TTTTTTTTTCTGCTTATGTGGTGCTGAGGAATCGAACCCAGGGCCTCAAGCATGCAAGGCAAGCGCTCTACCACTGAGCACCTTCCCAGACCTGTAGTCTGTTTCTTTTAATAATCTTTTGATTATTATATTGTATTATATTTGAATGGTTGTATATAGATATAGATATACTATAGAAAGATTATATATATCAAATATATATATAACCAGTCAAGTGGGACTTTGTCTAGTTTCCTTTTACATTTATTTATTTTTGTTTTATTTTGAGACAAGGTCTCACTCTATAGCCCAGGCTCATATTCTCAATCCTCCTGCCTCAGCTTTTCAAGCACTGAGATTATAAGCATGTGCCAGTACATCCCATTTAAATGTATTTTATAAAAATACATAAGGAATAAAAATGGCTTGGAGAATAGGGGTAGAAAGGAGGAAATTTTTAAATTTTTTAAACTTTAAAATTTTAATTTTTAAAGGATCCCAAAGATTCTATATCTTAAAACTACTGAATACAGACTTCTATAAAATTACAATATTGGGTATCTAATCTCTTATTTTCCATATCCCTTTTATTTTATTTTACTTCATTGTATTAAAATACATGATTTTTTACTGGATACAGATAGTTCATGCCTGTAATCCTAGCTACTAAGGAGGATCATAGTTCAAAGCCAGCTTGGGTAGGAAAGGCTCTTCAATTAATAACTAGGGGGGTGGGGGAGGGAAGAAAGATAAGCCAGAAATGGAAGTATGGCTCAAGTGGTACAGTGCTAGCCTTGAGCAAAAACATCTCAAGGAAAATATCTGGCCCCAAGTTCAAGCCCCAGGACCAGCATGCATGCACGTGAGCATGTGCACACACACACAGACACACACACACAGACACACACACACCACAATATATATATATATATATATATATTTTTTTTTTTTGTCGGTTATGGGGCCTGGGTCCTGTCCCTCAGCTATTTAGCTCAAGCCTAGTGCTCTACCACTTGAACCACAGTGCCACTTCCAGCTTTTTCTGCTTATGTGGTGCTAAGGAATCGAACCCAGGGCCTCATGCATGCAAGGCAAGCACTCTACTACTGAACCACCTTCCCAGCCCTATTTGTATGATTTTTAACCAGTTTATTTAATGTATAGAAAACCGTGTTCAACTGAAAAAGTAAAGTTGTTGGCTGGGTGCAGTGTTGGCTCTAATCTTAGCTAGTTAGGAAATAGAGACTAAGGGAATCATGGTCTAACAAAGAAGTGGCTGGCTGTACTGGCACTAATTGTTATCCCAAGTAAGACAGAGAAGCACAAGTATGCTGATCCCTGATCTGAACTCAGTGCCTGGAGCTGTCCCTGAGCTTTTATGCCCAAAGCTAGGGCTCTACCACTTGAGCCACAGCTCCACTTGGTGGTAATTGGAGATAAAAGTCTCATGGACTGCCAGGACTGGCTTCCAACCATAATCTATCCTTGGATCTCAGCCTCCCCAGTAACTATGATTATAGGCACCCAGCTAGGAACTGTTTTTAACTTATCACATTAAAAATATAAAAACAGCCACCAGGCACTAGTGGCTCACACCTACAATCTTAGCTACTCAGGAGGCTCACATCTAAGGACTGCCATTTGAAGCTGGCCCAGGCAGGAAAGTCTGTGAGACTCTTATCTCTAATTAACCATCACCAGAAAACCAGAAGTGGAGTTGTAACTCAAAGTGGTACTCAACTTGAGCAAAAAAAAGCCCAGGGAGGGGCTGGGAAGGTGGCTCAGTGGTACAGCACTTGCCTTGCATGCCTGAGGCCCTGCGTTCGATTCCTTAGCACTACATAAACAAAAAGAAAAAAGCCAGAAGTGGCACTGTGGCTCAAGTGGTAGAGCGCTAGCCTTGAGCTGAAGAGCTGAGGGGCAGTGCCCAGGTCCAGAGGTCAGGACCCACGACTGGCAAAAAAATAAAAATAAAATAAACAGGCTGCACGCTTGAGACAAAAGAACACCTGCTAGATCACAAAGCAAAGGCAACACCAGGGAAGAGAACCCACAGGATAGGAGAAAAGATTTGCATACTATACAATTCACAGTTTTAAAATAATAGTCTAACTTAAAAATGGACAGTAGACCTTATTAAATGCTGAACATCACTAATTATCAAGAAAATACAAATTACAACCACATTATTACCTCCCCATGGTTATCCAAAGTGCTGGTAACCGTAGAGAAAAGGGAATGCTTACCCACCACTGGTGATAATGTCATTTAGTACAGTCATTATAGAAAACAGATTAAAGGCTCTTGAAAATTTTTTAAATAAGATGACCATAAGATTCAGCAGTCCCACTCCTGGATATAAAAGCATAGCAAGTGAAATCATACTGCTGAAGAGATATCTGTACTCCCATATTTATTGCAGTACTAATCACAACAGCCAACAAATGGAAACAACCTAAGTGTCCACTCACTGATAAATGGATAAAGAAAATGTATTGTATACACAATGCAATACCATTCAGGCATAAACAGAATTAACTCCTGTCATTCATGACAAGGAATAAAGTTAAATGAAATAATATGGGCATGGAAAGACAAATGTTACATGATCTTATCCACATCAGAATTCAAAAAAGATTATCTGTCTCATAGAAGTTGAAAATAGCATAGTGGCTAGCAAAGCCTGGGAAAGTAAGGAGGAAGTAAAAGGGGAAAAGGTTGTTCAACAAGTATTAAGTTAGTATATAGATTGGAAAATTCAGGTGTTCTATTGCCCATTACCATGACTGCAGAAAACCATAGTGTCTTCTATAGTTCAGAAAAGCTAAAAGATTCTGAATTTTTACCTGGAAGCAATGACAAATATTTGAGGAGCTATGTTCACTCTGATATGGATATTACATTACTACAATATATATACATATATAAATGTATATATATTACTTCAATATATATACACACATATATACATATATACACATATGTATATATCTCCAAACATCAGATGGTTCCCTACAAATATAACTTTCACGTATTGGTTTTGAAATGTTTTTAAATTTTAAAACTTCACCAGTAAGACTACATCATTTAATATAATGGTAGTAACATCTCTAGTAAGTGTCTACTGCTTTAAATATGTACATATATACCTACATACACATAGACTAAATTTGTAATTTTGATTACACAGTAATTCCCAAATACACATATGATATTATTTTATGTAAGTTTTTAGAATTATGAGTCTCCTCCTCTTACAAAAGCCAATCATATGACCTATTTGTTTTCCAGTGATGATTTCTCTCACTTTGTTTTGTTCTCTTGATGTAACTCTGGAAATCAAGTGTTTTTTCTTCCCCAGGGATTGATATTTTTGTTCTGCTATCAGTTGAAGTCATTAGTTAGTGACATTCCTAAACTATTTTTTGCAGATGCCAGTTGTCATGGGTAGTCAACCAATTCTTTATCATTTGTTTAGCTAGTGTTTTGAAAAAATTCTTTGAATTGTAGGAGTTTTAAAAAAACTGAAACAATAACAAACTAAAATCTATGTTCCCCAGTTTCTGCAGATTGGTTCTGTGCTAGAAAGACTCCCAATCACTTATCCAGACTTGAACTGAGTAAAGATCATCCAGAACTGAAAGTTTGGGGTCTTCTCTAGCATGTATCTTGCCTAGAGCACACATATATTTTTTCACAGTCCACAATATACACAGGTGTTTAGAATGACCTTAGTTTTCAAAGTGAATTGCCTTACTTTCTCCAATCATATGATTGGAGGTATATGTAGGTATGTTATGTGCTAAGATTACATTCACAAATTTTCTAATACTAAGACATCTTTGAGACAGCCAGGTGCTCTTGCCTCATATCTGTCATCCGAAGTACTAAAGAGGCTGAGATCTGAGGATCAAGGTTCAAAGCCAACCCAAGTAGAAAAGTCTGAGAGACTCTAAGCAGCAAAATACCATACTAGTGGGGTGGCTCAAGTGGTAGGGTACCAGCAATAAGCAAAAAAGCCAGGTGAGAATAAGGCCCGAAGTATCAGCATCAAAGAAAAAAAAAAGACAGAAAGAGATAACTGCACATATAGTATAAGCAAAGTTAGCTAAACTGCTTGGTGTCTCATTCATGGCTGGGTTTGGTTTGTTAATACTTTTTTTTTAAGTTTCTTCATGTGTATTTATGACTGAAAAGATACAACATGTAATTCCTCTCCAATTATTGCTATCTGATTTAAGTTACATGGGTTTTGTAGAATGAGTTGGAAAGTATTTCCTTATCTACTGTCTGGAAAAAATTACATGAAATCTAGATGATCTTGAAGTTTGGTTACACTCACCTGTAATATCATCTGGATATACTGTTTTCCTTGTGAAATAATATTATTTTCTTTTTTTTAGTAGTTTCTTTAACAGTTACAAAAAGAGTGAAGCTCATTATTTTTTGTGAGTCAATTCTTAAAAGCTAAACATCTAGGTATTAATCTATCACAGTAAATAGACCAAAAATTCACAACTGTTCAAAGTTGTAACATCTTAGGAATACTAAATACCATGCTAGTTTGTCTTGTTTTTATTTTCAATGAAAGATTGGGAATCCTCTAATAGCAAATACCTCGAGTAACCCAAAACCACGGTTTTGGAATGCTACTGTTGACAAACAGAAACAGGCATGCATACATTATAGCTACCGCTTACCTCCCGAAACAGGGGCATCCATGAAAACAGCTCCCATTTTCTCTACTTCTTTTGCCAATTCTTTTGAAACTGCAGGATCAATAGTACTGGAATCTATTAATAATGAGCCTTTCTTCACTCTTCTAAGCAAATAAATGAAAATATTTATAGTTTATAACTGAACATTTCATGTAACTACCTACACAATCAGGATCAACTAAAAGTTGTCTCAGACATCAAAGAGGTCATTGGATAATATTAAAAATATTCATTAGAACTGGCTCATAATCTCATATTTATCTTTACCTATAGTTCAAAGAAAACCAAACTCTTCCAAATAAAGCAAAAGAAGCAATTCGAATATAGTACATAGTATACATTCTTGTTTTAGGTAAAGTACACACTAACTAGATTGTTACAAGCTAAAATGTCAGCAATTTTAAGCATCTATTAACTTTAATAAGGTATTTGAATTTGATAGGATTGAAATTTTGTTTCACTGAATCTTTAAAAAATGATTTGTCAGGGCTGGGAAGGTGGCTCAGTGATAGAGCGATTGCCTTGCATGCCTGAGGCCCTGGGTTCGATTCCTCAGCACCACATAATCAAAAAGAAAAAAGCCGGAAGTGGT